ACTTTCTCGTCGAATGATTCAGATCGGTAATTACGAGGAATGAAAATGGAAGAAAAAAAAAAAAGGAATTGAAAAGAAGGAAGGGAGCAGAAAACAAAAAGAAAAAAAGAGGAGAAAATTTGAAAAGAATTCTCGTTGGTAATAAAAAAAAAAGAAAATACGTAGTTGCGACGAAGATTCACAGAAGGATGATTTAAAGCGATCTCTTAACAACGACAACAAACTTTTCGGCACGTTATTACAAAAAAATGATATTAAAAAAAAAAAAGGAAGAAATTCTCGCGTGTCGATCCCTCATTATTCATCGACGATATTTGACACTGGTGTAACGATTTATTTGGCTTTATTGGCAATTATTATTTCACTTCCTTAAAAATCCTGTCGCATGTGTCTCTTTACTCCTATCTCTCTCTTTATTCTTTCTTCTTTACAACAAGTTTTCTTTCTTTTTTTTTTTCTTCACCTTGCTTTAATTTTGGCATTACATGGTAAAAAGAATGTCGCTTCCTGTTCCAAGCTTGAAGATCAGGCCGAAATTATACGCAATCGAAACAGCGACAGACCGACACTCCCGCGGGCCAAATTATTATTACGGCAAAAACCGAGCAGGAAATTCTCTTTATCTTTTATAAAAATCTCACACGAAATTGTGCGAATAAATGTCGGATTCCTTTCTTTCTTCTTGCTCTCTCATCTCTGCAAAGGTGCAAATTTATCGAGCGTGAAGATCATTCAATAGAGAGGTTTACAACAGAAGAAAAAAAGGTAAGATTTAATATTCGAATAGTATTTTTTTTTCTAATATTTTTTTTATGTAACAAAAAAAAAATTTTGTTCGTAAGTTTTTAAATATTTTTTTGATGACAATTCTTATTCTAAGAAATTTTTTAATGAAATTATATAATATATTAATAAATTATATAATATAAAAATTAAATATTATAATTTAAATATATAAATAATATTAAATATATAAATATATAAATAATATTATTATATAAATAAATATATAAATAATATTATTAATATATTAATAATAAATTAATTTTTGTAATAGTTGTTAATCTTTTTTTATATTTAGATTAATATCAAAATTTAGTTTCAGATTTAATTTAAAAAAATTTTCATCTAATTTTATAGAAGATAAAAGAGAATTTTTAAAATTATCTTAGAATTTTATTTTATAGAATTATATAGAATTTTTTTGATTTTGTATTGTTTAATTTTGTATTTATGGTCTTAGGATCATTCATTTGACAAATATTTAATGCAGATTTTTCATTTTTATGATTTTTACATAGTTTTAATTCAAAAAATTATCATCTCTTTTTAAGGATTAAAAAAAAAAAAATTCTAAAAAATTAAAAAATATTTTAGCAAAAAATTTTTCCATTTCTACAATTTATGAACAAGCATTTAAAAAATATTTAAACTTATTCAAAAATATAATAGTTCAAAAATATTTTAAATATCAATATCATATGAAAATAAAAAAATTAAAGAATAATTTTTCCCTCATAAATTTCAAACTAACCAAAATTTAAAAAAAAAATTCAAAAAACGAGATCTAAATTATCATTTAATTGCTCATATAACAGCAAAATCTCAGATCGAACTTGATAAAATTGGGATGAAATAACGAAGCGGGATTAATTGTAAGAGAGAAGAGGGAAAGAATGAAAAAAAAATGTTGCCAATATATATCGATACGTAACATGATGATTATAAATTATTAGTAGATTATAAATTAAAAAAGGTAAGAAGATATTTATGCGACGGCTAGGGATTATATCTTTAGATATATAATAATAGTTAGTTTAGAATTAGCAAATTAATGCGGTCATGTGTCGATCGGTATCGCGCTTCCTATTTAAGCTCTAACCAAACTATACACCTGCCTACCTATAATTACAATTCATCTACGTTAACAGAATTTTTATCTCTTTTTTTTTTTTTTTTTTTTTTTTTACGAATGAACAACATCATATAGAATCATTCTCATGAAACTATTTTTCTGTTTGATGATTCTAAATCTCATGTGTTTGTAATTGAAAATATAAGAACAATATTTATGTCTCTTTTAATATGTTTCAATTTGAGAAACGTAATTTTGAGAATTAATTGAATTGATAAAGGTAACTTTTTGATTTGATTTTTTTAACGTTTCACTGAGAATTTTATCATGAATTCTCAGTATGCTAAGGATTGAGAATGGAAAATGAAATCCAATATAATAATGGATAGTGTTATAGATGAGATCAAAATTTATTAAAGAAGAAAAAATTCATTTATTTAAAGAGGAATAGGAAATTTTTAGTCATTTTTTTCTTATTGAATCTGAACAAATATTTAATATTTTCTTAAATGTATTAAAAAAAATATATTGGATATTAGAAAAGATTTATTTTTCTGTCTCTTTTGGAATAAATGGAGATAATGTAATGAAAATTTAGCTAATTTTATGATTTTTTATTCTATGATTGTATAACATTTTATTCAATTTATAAAAGTTTATATTCATATGAGAGAATTTCACGAAATATTATTTTTTTTAAAATAAATTTATGATATAATACATAAAATATTATAATTTTGGAAATAATTCTATAAATATAATTAATTCATTTATAAGTGATGAATCATTAAAATAAATTTTGTCATTTTTATCGATATTCAATTAAAATTATTTTTATCAAAATATTTAAAAAACTACTAACACTATTTAATTTTTAGTATAATAATAAATAATAAAAACTAATCATACTTTATAAAAACTGTAATTTTAATTTACAGAAGAATAAAATGTCAATTTTCAAAAGTTTTTGAGCAAATTTTAATTCAATAATTATTCAATAATTAAAGTCATAGTTAAAATATGATTATACAATTGTATTCAATGAAAATTTAAAGTAAATCACTTAATTATTATTCATTATAATTTTATAGTTTCATGTGAATATTCTGAGAATATAAAATGTGATACAAAATAATAAATTTTAATGCTATATTGCTAATTTGGAATATTGAAGATGAAGGAATATTCTATATTCCAAAGGTTACCTTATTCAGATTAATAAAATTTGTTAATTAATCAATTTACAAATAAAATAATTAGCTATGATAGTCGTCTATTCTATTTTTATTAAAAGATCTATTATAAAAATATTCATATAAGTGGAATGATGTTCAACAATAATTAAAACATATAGTTAAATAATGAAGTATTCAAAATTTTGTTTCCATAATATAAATAGATTTTATATAAACAATTTCAATGTAACAAAGCAACATTTCAGTTAGTTAAGAATAATTAATAATATTAATTTTAAGAAAACATAATTCTCAACATTTTAGTTCTGAATTCTGAATTCTTAGAAGTTTTATTATTAATAAAGTTATATTATATAGTCTTATATATATCTTATATATAATAATCTTAATATTTACCGTAAAAAATAAAGCAATATTAAGCAGAAGAAGTAAATGAGATCAGGCAGTGCAATGTGATTAAACTCGTTTAATAACAGGTCCATAGATCTTGGATCTCGATTCATATAAAATTTTTCGTTAATTACTGTCAAACTGGCTTCCAAATCGTAATTTAGTCGACGCCTCGAGGGACCAATCAGTTCGTGGAGAACATCGAAGAATGTACGAAGGAGATGGACGAAAGAACTTGATCAATGGAAGCATTGGTGAGAAAAAGCAAGAAAAAGTGTAAAAGAAATGGCGCGGGCGTGCGTGCAGACCGAGAAGAACGAGAAGAAATAAATTTAATTTTTACAAGTGATCGATTGGAACTCGTCTTTTGATCTCGCCGACAGTAAGTGACGTCGGATTAAGTGTCTAAGAAATGATAAGAGGATAATCTACGTATCGTTTGTACATATGATGTTATATTAATGTTAATATGTATGTCGGTTGTTTAGTTCATGAATTCTTAGATTTTGAATTTATTCATCAATATTTGCCAATATTGAAGTTATTTAAATTTAATGGATAAGTTTTTTGAATGATGGCGCCAAATTCTGTGAATTTTAAATAAGAAGTTACATTCATAGACAAATGTTTATTTTTGATAGTAATAAATAATTATAATATTTATAAAAAAATATCACATTTCGATCTCGATGATTATATTTAATATGTTATCATTATATTGAATAGTGTTGTAAAAATTTTACATGATAGTCGTTATTTATTAAAAAATTTTTAATAAATTAGTTATTAAAAATTATTAACCTAACCTAATTTAATCCAAACCCAATATAAATCATGAAATCAGAAATTAAATAAATTTTTATTCAATATTAATTATATAATATTAATTTTAAATTTAATTTCACGTCAAATTAAAATTAAATAAAAACTCATTTAACTATCAGCCAAATTAATTTACATTGATATTGTTTTCTTAATTTGACCATTGTGAATCGTTAATTGTCTGTCGCAATAAAGTTGATTATAAGTAATCTGATTTAATTTAACCTAAATTGTCTCGAAGAAACATTTTTTGCAACGATTTTCAAATAAAATCTTTACAACATATATAGATATATATGATGACTATAGATTGATGACTTTGATACCATATTAAAAATCATTAAAATTAGAGTATTTTTTCGTAAATAATTATCAAATAACTTATATAACAATTTATATTTTATTATTATAAATCATTATTATACATTTCAAATTTTTTCTAAAAATATTATGAAATAATAATAAATAATAATAAATAATTTTCATATTTGTTGAGCTATTACGCATGGATGAAATTCTGAATAGTATTCAAGAAGGAAAAAAATTTTTTAGAGATAAATGAGATTTCAACAATAAAACTGAAAGAAGATCATGTCTGCGAACGAAATATAATTAAAACAATAAAAAAGAAAATTAATGTAAGAACATCGATAAAGAAATTCTATCGATAAAATTAAATAAGAATAAATTTTTTTAAATATTTTTGAAAAGAGAAGCCAAATCAATTTTGAACTCACCTGTATGCGGCATATTGATCCAAGAATTTCAGTGATAATCTGTAACAAAAATGAGAACGGTTCATTAATTTTATTTCATATATTATATTTATATTTATCATATATATTTATATTTAATTTTATTTCATGATTATAGATTATAGATCATTTGCAATCATCGATCGATTTTTTACAGCATACAATTATTGCAAACACATATTCATCCGTTTTACAATATAATGATACCCATATTTTGTACATATACATCAGACTTTGCATATATATATATATGTGTATCGCAGTTTACAGGAACATAGCCTTTACTGTTAATGAATTTAAATGTATTCAAAGGGCGCGCTTGACGCTTGACATGGCAACCCTTAAATATGCAATCGTACCACGCGGCAAAATATTATCGCCGACGTACCGTGATTCTCATTCCGTGAAAATAATGTAATCGCTGGTGAAATCGAGCTTACCTCGATATTTGTAATCAGTGCACGTATCAACGATTTTGATTTTGGGTTGACAAAAGTGTAAAAAGCGTGTTTAATTCGATGGTAACAGGACCGATGAATGATTCGTATCATATTAATTTTTTTTAATATGACATACTTAAGATGAGGTGAGAATAATGGAATTTTTTATAAGATAAAATTGTTTGAAATTTAAATATAATTATATAACCGGGATTTATGTAAATCATTTATACAATATTTATAATAATTAAATAAAAAATTCGTTCCTTTTTATTTGTAACATAATTATTATATAAATTATAAATTATAAAAATATATTAAAAATGTATTTATTTTCAATAAATTTTATATTATTATAAATATAGCTTTTTATAAAAAAGAAATAAAAAATTGTTTGAATGAAAAAGAAATTCTTTCATTAGAGACAATTGTTGTTTTTTTAATATGATAAATAATCAAAATCGTTTTTATCGATTTTTTTGACGGAATAGAATTTTATAGTGTTATATTTTTTCCAATTTTATAAAAAATATTAAAATTTAATTCATTTATTTATTTCTGAAAAATGAAGAAATTAATCATATTATATTTAACCTGAAATTAATATCGATTATAATACATTTTATATAATATATATAATTTATAAATATATATAATTTTAAATTATTCTTTTTCTTTATTTTTTTTTCATTTTATTTATTTCATGTATTTATTTCATATTATAAAAATATATACACTAATCGGAAAAAATGAAAAAAAGAATAAGGATTATATATTTCTTGTTTTATTTCAAAAAAAAAAAAATATTTTTCAGTTTTAATTTGTATTCTATATTTTTAAAATTATCTTAGATAAATCTCTCAATTTTGTAATTTTTATAATCTTAGAAGAAAGATTTGTTTAATATTAACGTATAGTTTTTATTTCTTTCATCAAATATTGATACTTTTTTATTTAATATAACATAATATAACATGTTTATTTGTTATTAAATAAAAAATATGATAGGAATAATAAAAATTAGCATTAATTAATATTGATTCTTCTCTATATAATAATTCTATAATTATAATATTTTAAATATCATCATACATCAATGTATAGAATAATGAAAATTAGACATTTCTTTTTCTCTTCTTATTCTTCAACTATAAAATTTAACAGAATTTTTAAATTTTTTCATTGATTAAAGTATTTTGACTTAAAAGTTTAAAATTATACTAGTTTAAAATTATTATTTAAGTTTAAAATTATATTGATTTTAAAAATTTAAAAGTTTTAAATTATCAATATATTTTATAGAATTTAAGAATTTAGATAAGAGAAAAATTGAGTTAAAATTTTATTGTTTTTGAAAATTCTTTCATCAAAAATTTATATATATATATATATATATATATATATATATAATATTTATTTCAAATTAATAACAGAACCAACAAAACTTAAATATAATAGAAATTATTAACCTAACCTAAATACTTGGTCAGTAGTGTATAACAAATTAAAAATCTTTTTAGTGTAATGTTTTCTAATTTTTTATTAGATATAATATCTTTTTATTATAATAAAATAAACGACAAACGATTTTCCTTTTATAATTATATAAATATATTTTTGATGAAACTAAAAAAAAAAAAAAGAAAGTATAAAAAAACAAAAAACAAAGTATGATATGATATAAATTAATACGATATAACAATTAAACATAAATAACATAAAATGAACATCTATTAAAAAATCGTAACAAATGTAATTATGTATGTATGCTCGTAGGATGAATATTCAATATTTTTTTAATATTTACCGCGTTACGTTGAATCATACGTTATTTCTATTTATTATATTTCTAGATAATTGTATTGAAATAAGTAACTATTAATTTTTACTTTTAAAACATAAAACATTCTATATAAATAATCATAAATAAAAATAATTGTGAAAATTTCCCAGAAAACACTTTGCGACTGAATTGTTGGTGGTTGCGAATCACATAAGTTGGGAATCCATGTTTCGATATTATGATATAAATTCCTAATCAGGAAGAACAATTGTTCCACGGATCTCGAAAGGAGAATAAACGGGTGGGTGTGTCTTTCTCGAACAGCTTGAAAACTAAGAGATCGAGCGGTAGCGGAAAACTACGTGGAATGCGTGCGTAGCGTGGCGGGTGGCGTGTATTTTGTGATGCAAATTAATGCGCGATTACCAAATCACCCCTACCCCCGCCGGTTTCGACCGCCCTTCCCTTCCCCCTCTTTGCTTCATCGTCGTTACCCTCGCCTCGTTCGTGTCGAGGTCTCCGGCACCAAAGCAAATGGGCACATGGGTTTGTGTGTTGGTGAGCGGGGCAGCCACGAAGTTTCAGGTGTATTCTCGGCTACGTGCAATGAGCACCAAGCTCACCCCGGTCACTCGATGCCTACCCACGCATTAAGTCTGCTTACACGCTCGCTATCCTAATCTGATGTAACTATTACACGTTACGCGGCTACACGGTCGTGCTATCGACGGAATTATTTTTCTTCTTTGTCTTCGTCGCCCTCTCTTGCTGTACTTCGTGGTTTTAGGGGAAGCTGATTGATTCGTCGTTGAAACCCGCGGAGAGATAATGTTTCGAAAGATGTCGAAGAGTCGATGATAGACGCGGATATCGATTCAATCATATCAACTTGATACGAAGAGAAAATATATTTAATTAATTATTGATCGATTGTGAATATGAATCAGCGATTATAAGTTTTGTAATTATGTATTATCGTTTAAATAATTATGTCGAGATTTGAGTTTTTCTTTTATTTTCTGTTTTTTCTTTTATTTTTTGTTTTTTTGAGCTATCGTCTTTCTTGTCTATGTGAATGCATTTTGTTTTTTTAATATTTTTTAGTGATTTTTTTAACGAGTTTGCCACTGTTTTCTTTGTTTTCCTCTTTTTTTTAATTTATTTTCGATTTTATTTTTCATTTTTTCTCTTTCTCAATGTTTATCATTACATTTGGATCGAACGATTTAAAAAGCAAAAATAAAAGATTTCAAACAAAATTTTTTATTAGTCTCTTATATTTTCTCAATACCATTGTCTCAAATTAAAATTGTCATGTAAGAAAAAAAAAAAAAAATAGAACATAGTTGAAACGATCGTGAGATCGTATCGTGTATCGGAGAAAATTCGAGATTCGCAAGAAATCGAGAATGTTGTATACGATCCGGTGTATCGCAAGAAAACAAGTTGAACATTTTTGTTCTGCATCCGTGCAAAGACCTGGAAAATTGACGGTGCAAAGTTATTACGGCGTCGACGATCACCATCGAAAAAACTCGATCTTACTTATATGGCGTTTGTAAAGTTCGAGGATACCAAATACCATCACGAAACGATTTCAAGGTGTCAAGCATTACTCGTTGAAGTGACAGCCTCACGAAATCTGGTTAGGTATTTTATTTGTACAATGATATATGTACGAGGAGAAGAGACAAAAAAGAATTAATTAATTTAATTAGAATTTTCTTATAAAAATTTTATTAAAGTTTTTTTGTTTATATTTAATTAAATTATAATATATTTTATAAGATATTATTTCCTTCAGAACAAATTAATTTTTCAAGATCTGTATTTTATTGGAAATATTGTTCATAGTAGAGATAACAATTCATAAGATTAAAAAATGTACTTTTCAAAAGATATTTATATATTAAATTTATATTATTTGTATTTTAAATTTAATTTTTCTCATTTCCTACACACTTTTAAATTTGTCTAATCGCTATTATAAATTTTTGAGATATCTCTCAGAATTTTAAATAATACTAATAATGCTAATTTTATCTTCAATTAGAAATTTTCAATTAAGTCTTATCATTATAATTTGGTTCAGATTTAAATATTTTATTAAGATACGTTATTATTTAAATATATTTAAAATTCAAAATTCTCTATTAAAAAAAATCATTAATCAATAGTAATATATAATTACATATATTCTCTTTAATTAATAATCTTATTAAACAAGGAATCACAATTCTAACAATTATCTTTAGACTTGTAAAAATAAAATCCTTAACGGAGGATTTTCTTTCATAGGCGGTTATATTTGATTCGAAAGAATGATCGGAAATTCCTCGTGGTAAGTTTCTCATCGAACAGAGGACTTGGTACAATAAAATATCTCGGTAATGAGGATTGAACGATTATTATAAATCAAACAGGGCCGGCAAACGCGGATCCTTCGCCGCATTTCTCGCGCGCCACGTGTTTTGTCGGTGTTACTCTCTCGTGAACACGTGTCCCGCTTTTATTTCTTTTTCTCCACCTTATCCTCTCCTTGCGGTACGTGCAAAAGTGACGTACGAACCGAACGTTTGGACTCTCCGACACGCTGGATTTTTCTACCTGTTCGCAGGGGCCGTTGTGAACAGTTTCTTTTGGCCGCGCTATGATACCGATGTTTCAATTACGCTGTTTGGCCGAAACTCGTGCCTAAAGTCTTGATGGATGCCAGGGGCAAAAAGAAGATGAATAGTCAAGGGCGCGTAAAAATTCTAAAAACGGCGAAAA